AAACATTACAATTGCTTGATTTTCATCAATTAATTACGCCTGAAATTGATTAAAACCATGTATCTGTTGATTTTTCTGTTTGTTTTTTTTACATGGAGTCGGTGTGGATGTGGATGGATATGGGTGTGTGTAGGTGAAGGTGTGTGAGTATCGCTGTAGGTTTCGGGTGTAGGTGTGGATGTTCGCTTTCTTGAACCGTACACTCATACTCACTCACACCCACAGCACACACCCACATCTACACATACTCACATCCATACCCACACCCACACACTCACACCTACACACTCACACTCATCCGCACCACACCCGAGATTGCGTTGTGTTTCTTTTGAAAGTTGGAATACCAACTACTGATAGTCAACATACTGCGCCATTCGTCCCTTGCTGATAAGATTCTTTCTGCGCAAATGAAAGCAAACTCTTAAGTATATCTTGTGCAAATACATCGTCGTTTTAATGAAAAAGAGGTAAGAGAAAGTATTCATACCAAGCAACGTTTATGTGGTTTGTTTCCATGATTCATACAATGCAAAGAGCGCTTCATTGGCATTAAAACATGATCAGGGAACCTATCGTGTTCATTTGAGTCTAATGATGGAAGGTTTCCAAGTGTGAAGACAAAAAATAGGCAGTAGAAATATAGCCATGGCAAATTTTGATGTAAAGGGTGGGTGCGGGTGTGGGTGCAGGTGTGAGTCTTAATGTTATCTCCGATCCATACCCATATCCCCCCCACACCCACACCCACCCACACCCACACTCACGCCCCACACCCATTCCCTCAGACCGATTTACTGTTATTACAAGCAAAAATAGACGGAAAAAAGTTTTGGTAAACCATAAACTCGGTTTTGATTAGTCTATTTTTTGTATATGAAGTGAACCACATTTCTTTTTTCAGCGTGTTTGAGTCACTTCATACAAACATGTTTGTTGATGTATCGTCAATCATTGTTTACAAGAATTGAATAATCAGTGTCAACAATATCGACGTGAATTCAATCTAAACACAAGTCGTTTAACTGGTTATTCTCTTGGGTGAGGGCGGGTGTGGGTGATGAAATGACAATCACCTTCACTCTTACCCACCTTCTCTTACGTTGAAAATTTACAAGGAGAAAACCCTCTCTCATGTATGAAGAGAACAGCAGGTGGTGATTATAATGTGTCATTTTATTTTTCTTTTCTGCGTCAGTCTTTCAAAATTGCACAACCCCATTGCAAAATTGTATTATTTAATGTGTTACTTTTATCTTTATTTAATCATTTGTTTTTTTTCACTCTATTTTTAAAGTAAGGACTAACTATGGCAGAATATTTTAAACTACCGTTTTCTAATCAACAAATTTATGTTGAAATCAAACTTTCACAATCAGAAGGAAAAAGTAATGCTGCTGCTGCTGCTAGTAGCAATACTGAGATTATATGTTGTGTTGATACAAGTGGCTCAATGGCTGGTAGTCCGATACATAATGTTTGTGAAGTTTTACGTGATATTTATCAACGTACACAAAAAGACTATCGACTATTTACATACAATACACAGACAGATACAAAACGTACCTTAAAAACATTATATGAACAAAATGGTGACCTACAAGCCAATGGTGGTACTTTATTTTCATGTATATTTAATGCTATCAAAGATTATCTTCTACAAAATTCATCATCAACGAGAGCAACAACTTTTATATTTATGACTGATGGACAAGATAATGAACCAAATAGTCCAACATTAAGAAAGAGTATTGAAATGTTAAAACTAATTTTAAGTGGAATGACGAATGTAAGTTATTATATGTTTTCATAGAGAGAATCCGATGAAAGTTATGTCTGATCACCTGAATCCTCATTTTTCTATTCAAGAACTTGAGTAGGCTAAACTCTGCGATAAAATTCTTATTATTCGTTTGATAGTTTCATACTTTTCTCTGTTTCAGTCTCCTCCAATTACGTTTCATGTTATTGGTTTCGGTGAAGTTAACGATCAATTTCTTAATCAAATACGAACATTTGGTACACGCCAAGGTCTCTTTCGTTATTCAACAGAGTCCAGAGAATTACAAAATAATTTTAATGATATGTTTGAATATGCGTTAAATGTACGTGAATTTACCATTAAATTTTCAAATGGGAAAACTTATACTGCAAATAATATTGATAATGAAACAGTTGGTTTTCTAACTAACGATGATGACGATTTAAGTACAGTTACTGAGTTAACCTTAATTGATGACACAAAAACGACAAGAAACTTTTGTTTAACAGAAATGAAAAATATTCGCCCTATACATTCTCTACATGCCCTTAATCTTATTTCACCGAAAAATGAAGAGGATGTCAAATCAATACAAGCCTATTTGAGTACAATTCAAATTACAAATAATAAAAATTTAATAGAACGTTTAGAAGTTGAACAAATTTATAATGAAATTGATCAACGTATGATGGAATATACTCAATTATTTACACAATTAAAAATAAATCAAGTACCAGAACGTGTAAAACTACAATTGAGTGCACTTAGGCATGATCCAATATTTGCTAATACACAACGAAAGAAAAAATTAGATTTAAGAATAAATAAAAATGCTGATTATTTCAAGAGAACAGATATCAATGGTATATTACAAGGATATAAAGATTCAATTACATCTGATACATGGCAAATGATTAAAGAACAGAAACAGGAATGGGTTGATGTCTATTCAAAGGAAGATATCTATGAAATTATGAGAAAATCATCAGACAATATTTTATGCTTAGGTAATGATTTTATACAAAAAATAATTCGGTGGAGAAAAAAAATGAAGCTTTATTTGCAATGTTAGATCCATAGTGATTTTGACAGTAACCGATTTAGCTAAGATTTTTACCACATTATCTAGAAATTAATAAAAATTTCAGCCCTAATAAGACTTTCTAGCCGGAGTTATAAGTACTGAACGTAGCACCACTCAATACTCTGAAAAACTCGAACCCACAAACGTGACAGACTTCCATGGCAACACCGTATCGTCACAGACCATGACAGATACCCTACTTGCGAACGGTAATCTTCCCTACCAATTACAAACATCTCTCCAATATAGCCCTCTAATTCTTTTTCTTCACTTCTCTTAATATATTCTTTCTTTCTCTTGAGTCATCATTTTCGTGCTGATTGTTTAGAAAAATTATTATTATTCTTTTATGTGCGCTTGAAAAAATAAAATATGAAACATAATATATATCTCGACAAAACACTCATTCTTGCTTCTCTCCATATCTTACACTTTTTTGAAAGAACATTCATTTAATTTTATTTCTCAACTACCGAAGCCCAGTGCATAGTGCACGGCTGTTTTCTATTTTCACGTATTACCTTAGACCGCTAGTTTTTCATGCGGTAACAAACATACAAACACTCGACAGTATGTATATAGGCAGATTTATCCCTTATACCTTTTGTAACCTTATCCGCGTGTCATCTTCCTTCCTATCTTACTCTCTTCAGGGCCTACAGGAATTTCCAAAGGATACTTCTTGAGGGATTATGTATACCCCATATGATAGCGCTTGGCATCTTCTAGCGTTGTTTGACTTTTAATCTTTGACTTTTGACCTCGAATTTCATTTGTGAAGAGATATCATATGTGACACTCAACATTAGTATATAGATATTCATATCTGACCATCGAGTTTGTCATACTTAAAGACATCTCACCACCTATCCATTATAAACGCCACAAAGCATGACAGAGATCACAGCCGATGATACATACCATACTATATTCTAATGTATGATATAATTATGCAGTTTGTTTGTGTCTTAAATTTTAATCGTACAGGAATTGCATTAACTTCTTTGTCGTCAATGACCAGATGCAGAGAGCTGGAATTTTCAAAGAATATGGCTAATATAATAAGGGTTATTGATAACTAGAATTTTAGATTCAAGAAAATTTTTCGTCAGCTTTGACGAGGTATTAATAAGTACATTTTAAGAAAACTGTACTTTTCTAGAAAATCTTTTAGCAAAAATTAATTTTGAGTTATAAGAAAGATAGAGCACTACAAAATCTACAAAATCAAACTTAGAACTCTTAGAAAGAAGCACTTTTGTTCTAAGAACTGTATTTTGATCTTGAAAGCTCGTTGCGCGATCTATCAGAGATGGTCTCATTGTCAAAAGCTTTCAATGCTCTACTTTTCTGGTCATTTTTGATCAGTTTTGAGTTTTCTAAACGCTTTCTATAAAGAATCTCCTCTATGTCTGACAAAACTTTTGACTATATCGTCGAAATTGACATGAAAAGTTGATCTACCTTCAGTGAAGAGATCAAGAGAGCAATATTTATCAAAAAGTTTAGTTCTTAGCTATTTATTATTTTATTGAAAACTTTCGTCTGAAATTCCAACAACACATATTTTAAAAACAAAATACATTTACTAAAAAGATAATTGACTTTATTATTAGGTATTCTTGTCCAACGTGATGAAGAAGCTATTACTAATCCAACAAAAGGTTTAAAACTTTTGAATGTTACTAATACAATTATTTCTTATGATTCATTTATCAATGCCATGAATGTAGCTAAAAATAATCAACAATCACAAGGACAATTCACTACTCTAAATGATTTATATTGTGTAGCTGGTGTTCTATCAAATGAACGAATTAATGCTGTTATACCATTATATATTAATGATGAACATATGAAACGAATACGTATTCTTGAAGGTATTTGGCTTGGTTATCTTTATACATTAGATAGTTATGGATATGATAAACAACAAGAAGTTGGTCTATTAAAATTATTACATCAAATTATTCAACAACGTACAAATACTCAACGACAAAAACAAATTTTAATTGAACTTGAAAGAGTATGTCAATTTATAATTAACGAATCACAAGGTTTTAAAACAGCTGAACAATTTGGTGAGAAAATTTATGAAAAATTATTTAATCGAATTCCAATATCAAACACTCAAGAATATGATTTACGCATACCACTAATGATTAGTTATTTAAAAAATAATTTAACATCGGTTCTATTACCAGTTTATTATGAATATCTTAGACAACAATATCTAAGTAAACATAGAAAAAGATCCTTAGAGACAAAACAAATTGTAGAAAATCTTCTTTATGGTTGTGATGCAAAAACTCGAACCATGGCTATCAGTGTAACGAATCAGAATAACACTACAACAATTAATAATGATCCTGATTATATTGAAAAAAGTTTTATTGATTTTTTTCATGATGAACTATGTAAACCAATTGAATTAATACCACAGAAAAAAAAAAATGAAAACAATAAATTTATTATACGTGATGAAATTGAACTAGATTATATTAAAAGTTTTCTATTACCAATACCTGATTTTATTAAAACTATATTAAATTATTCTCAAATCGATGATGATTACATTGAAAAACATTTAGATTATAATAATTTAAGATGGGAATTATTAATTACATTTTATTATTTAATTTATTCAGATACAAATATTAGAGAATTACAAAATTTACCGAATAAAGAAAACATTTTATCTACGATTGATGAACGATTACACAGTAAGTATAGTAAAGAGGACGAGCACGAAAATAGAGTCTGATGTATTAATAACTCATCTTACATATTTTCTAGCTGCTACAACAGATACCAATGATTATGATTGCTCATCGGAAAGTGTACGTCTCGTCACTTATGTTGCTCTCAACTGTAAAACACTTGAAGGTTTTGCTGGTTTAATGCGTAAATATTGTTCAAAACGTCGTGGTCCAATATTTACTGAAGTTTTTAAACAACTACTTCCACCATATAAGGACGAGAGTGATAATATCCATGTAGGAGTAACAAAGGAAGATAAACTGATTGCTTTACTTTCAAATACAATTTCAACAACAATAACAACAAAACCAATTTATCACGATATGAAACAATATGATCGGTCGCACTTTGATGGGCTAATCGATGCGTTAAGTTGGTTTATTAAACAAAATAATGTTTATAATATTAAATATCTAATTGTAAGAAAGCCAATTGTCTATGGCATTGGTATTTCAACTGTGTCTGATCAAAGTGGTAGTAGAAAAAAAACAAAACACCGTTATGTTTTACGTTGAAAAACGAAAACTGAATCAAGATTTGTTTTTTTCTTTAAACAAATAAAAAGAAACTCGAGAAAGTTTGTCGTTTCTTATATTCCTCTATGTGTAGAAGTGTTTTAATCATTGGTATAGTCGAAATCTACTAACGGGTGGCCCATAATAAATGGCAGTCTCAGTATTTTGCCAATATTTCATTCGATTCTCAGTAATTCGAAATTTATTTTTTTATCAAAAGATTCTGCCTTCAATTCTCTAGAAAATTACATATTTCTATTAATGAAAGCTTACTCGCTGATTCTCTGATGCTGAATACAAAAGATTAACCCAATATGTCCAACTTAGGCTTTTTGCGAAATATTATTATCACACTTTTTAATTCTTAAAGTAATTTTGTTTTCTACTTTCACTTATTCTAATTTATTATTTGAAA